TAATAGATAGATCGTACATTCAGTACCTTGGATCTCTGATAACGAAGTCACATATTACCTCTTTTTAACGTTAAGCAAGCTAAGAGAAGGTCCTTCAGTGATGCGTGATCATACTCTAGTTCAAATTTTTTTAGATAAATTTATATAATAGAGATTACACACTTTCATAAAATAGAGGATTATACATATCATAAAGCTGGAACGCATTATCAATTAAAAATTCCTTTGTAGCCAGATGGCAGAATAGTTTTCTACGCCATACTATTGAATATTAAATTTACTACGAATATCCACAAGTCATTGTAGACTTTTCATTAAATAATATGTCGCCTGTGCAGGCTCATTTATTAATTTAAATAAAATTTTGCTTACACTCTTCTAATCAAGTTGCTGCGTGATCAATGTTGGTTTTTTTGTTACGCGAAACATTAATAGCAACTGACGCAAAACATCACTTATACGTTGACACATTAAACACTGAGATGATTGAGAAAGATAAAATCACGAAAATCTGTAAGAAATCGTAGAATTGTTTATTCTTGAATTCAGACTGAAAAATGCAATAGAATTATTTGAAGTAGTTAGTCGGCCAAACGGAATGTGACCCAGTTAGACCAGACCCGAAATTATTATGTGGCAAATTATTTGACCCGAACTATAAATTTCGGATCAACCAAAGCTGTTATTAAATCAATATTAATTTAGTTATTTAGGAATGGTAAATTAATGACCACGAACTTAAAACATAAACCTACCGCCTATTATTTCATAAAATAGAGTTATTTAGTATTTAGGAATGGAATATTAATGAGCACGAACTTGAACCTAAACCTACCTCCTATGGTGTCATTAAATAAAGTTATTTAGTTATTTAGGAATAGAATATTAATGAGCACGAACTTGAACTTACTGCCTATTGTGTCATCAAATAGAGTTATTTAGTTATTTAGGAATGGAATTTAATGAGCTCGAACTTGAACTTACCTCCTATTGTGTCATCAAATAAAGTTATTTAGTTATTAGGAATGGAATATTAATGAGCACGAACTTATACTTACTCGCTAATATATTATTAAAATTAATGGTTATGGATATTTTAGGAATGGAATATTAAAGAATATGAATTTTAAAATCAAACTCACAGTCTATCATATTATTAAAATTATTTGCTATTTAGCTATTTTGAATGGAATATTACTGAGCGCGAACTTAAACTTGAACTTACAGCCTATTGTCATTTAATAGAGCTATTTAGTTAATTAGGAATGGAATATTAATGAGCATGAACTTGAACTTACTGCCTGTTGTGTCATCAAATAAAGTTATTTAGTTATTTAGGAATGGAATATTAATGATCACGAACTTGAACTTACTGCCTATTGTGTCATCAAATAGAGTTATTTAGTTATTTAGGAATGGAATTTAATGAGCTCGAACTTGAACTTACCTCCTATTGTGTCATCAAATAAAGTTATTTAGTTATTTAGGAATGGAAGATATTAATAAGCACGAACTTAAACTTACTCGCTAATATAATATTAAAATTAATAGTTATAAATTATTTAGAAATAGAATATTAAGAATATGAATTTTAAAATTTATACTCACAGTCTATTATGTTATTAAAATTATTTGCTATTTAGTAATTTAGGAATGAAATATTAATGAGCGCGAACTTGAACTTACTGCCTATTTTGTCGTCAAATAGAGTTATTTAGGAATGGAATATTAATGAGCACGAACTTACTCCTAAACCTACCTCCTATTGTGTCATTAAATAAAGTTATTTAGTTATTTAAGAATAGAATATTAATGAGCAAGAACTTGAACTTACTACCTATTGTGTCATCAAATAGAGATATTTAGTAAATTAGGAGTGGAATATTAATGAGCTCGAACTTGAACTTACCTCCTATTGTGTCATAAAATAAAGTTATTTAGTTATTTAGGAATGGAATTTTAATGTGCACAAACTTAAACTTACTCGCTAATATATTGTTAAAATTAATAGTTATGAATTATTTAGAAATAAAATATTAAATATGAATTTTAAAATTTATACTCACAGTCTATTATGTTATTAAAATTATTTACTATTTAGTTATTTAGGAATGAAATATTAATGAGCGCGAACTTGAACTTACTGTCTAATTTGTCATAAATAGAGTTATTTATTTATCTAGGAATGGAATAATAATGAGAACGAACTTAAACTTCAACCTACATACTATTGTGTCAATAAATAAAGCTACTTAGTTATTTAGGAATAGAATATTAATGAGAACGAACTTAAACTTAAACCTACATCCTATTGTGTCATTAAATAAAGTTATTTAATTATTTAGGAATAGAATATTAATGAGCACGGTCTTGAACTTACTGCCTATTGTGTCATCGAATAGAGCTATTTAGTTAATTGAAATGGAATATTAATGAGCACGAACTTGAACTTACTCGCTAATATATTATTAAAATTAATAGTTATTAATATTTTAGGAATGGAATATTAAAGAATTTAAAATTTAAAATTTAGACTCACAGTCTATTATGTTATTAAAATTATTTGCTATTTAATTATTTAGGAATAAAATATTAATGAGTGCGAACTTAAACTTGAACTTACTGCCTATTGTGTCATCAAATATAGTTATTTAGTTATTTAGGAACGGATTATTAACGAGCACGAACTTAAACCTAAACTTACCTCCTATTATGTCATTTAAATAAAATAATTTAGTTATTTAAGAATAGAATATTAATGAGCACGAATTTAAACCTAAACCTACATCCTATTGTGTCATTAAATAAAGTTATTTAGTTAATTAGGAATGGAATATTAATGAGCACAAACTTAAACTTACTGCCTATTTTGTCATCAAATAAGTTATTTAGTTATTTAAAAATGGAATATAATGAGCACGAACTTAAACTTACTCGCTAATATATTTTTAAATTAAGTTAGGAATATTTTAGGAATGGAATATTAAATATGAATTTTAAAATTTAGACTTACAGTCTATTTTGTTATTAAAATTATTTGCTATTTAGTTATTTAGGAATGGAATATTAATGAGCGCGAACTTAAACTTAACCTTACTTCCTATTGTGTCATTAAATAGAGCTATTTAGTTATTTAGGAATGGAATATTAATGAGCATGAACTTGAACTTACTTCCTATTGTGTCATTAAATAAAGTTATTTAGTTAGTTATTTATGATTAAATTATTAATGTGTACAAACTTAAAACTCGAACTTACTCCCTATTGTCATTATTATAATTATTAGTTATTTAGGAATGATTATTAATGAGCATGAATTTAAACTTGAACTTACTGCCTATTGTGTCATTAAATAGAGTTATTTGGTTATTTAGAAATGGAATATAATGAGCGCTAACTTAAACTTACTTGCTAATATATTATTAAAATAAATAGTTATGAGTATTTTAGGAATGTAATATTAAAGAATATGAATTTTAAAATTTAGACTCACAGTCTATTATGTTATTAAAATAATTAGCTATTTATTTAGGAATGGAATGTTAATGAATTGAACTTAAAACTCAAACTTACTCCCTATTATCATTATATGGTTTATTTAGTAATTTATAAATGGAATATTAATGAGCACAAACTTTAAACTTACATGCTAATATGTTATGGCAATTATTAGTTGTTTGGGAATGAATAATAATGAGCACGGTTATTAGTTTTAGGAATGAATGATTAATGAGCATGTATTTATAAAATTTTGACTTACTAGCTATTATGTCATCAATTAATAATTGGAGTTATTTATGAATGGAACATCAATAATGCGAGCTTATAAACCTTAGACTTACGTGCTATTATATTAATCAATAATTAATTAGGAAAATTATTAGAGTAGCGTACTAATCGACTTAGACTTACCTTCTATCATTATTAAATTAATAAATTGTTAGTTACTCGGCAATTTAATATTACTAACAGTAAACATTTAACATTGCTCACTCGCTGCTATCATTATTATTTAAATTAGTTAGCGGAGTAAGTTGGAATAAAAATAATCAGCATGAACTTATAAAACTTTATACATACGTCCTATCGATTTAACAATCGTTCAGAGAGGTATTATACATATAACAATAAAAAACAAGGTTTAAAAATATTTCTTTAATTAACTCATAATTGAATTAAAACTTTTATTTATTCTGCAGATTAATAAATATTATTAACCCACATACAGTACACATTTTTATCATAAATGGTATACTTACTTTCTATCAGACTTTAATAAATCAATACTCATGCTGTCCTGTTTATAGTAAAATGTTATAAATAAAATTTACTCAAAGTTGTTCAACCTTACTTTTGCTTACATCAAAAGAGTCTTCAAAAACATCCGCAGAACCGCGTCTATTTGAATCTAAACATATAAAAAGTATATACAGTATATTAGCAAAAAAGCAACATTCCAATATTAACTAAATAATTAAAAATTCACCGTTTGTATTTGACATTATGTCATTAACAAAGTTGTTGCCATTATAAAATGGATCGAGAGATAAATATTTAAGTTCATTAAGAATTTGATCTGCAGTAGGACGAAGAAAAGGCGATGCATCCCAACATTTGGAATAAAGTTGAATAAAGGATAAAGGTGTTCCAATTACAGGGGCTTCGCGTACATTCTGTATTATGCTACTAATAACTGAAATATTATCCTGTTGATAAAATGGTGGAAAGCAACTTGAAATTTCCCAGAATATCACACCAAGACTGTAAATATCAGATTTGGTATTTATTTTATAACGATAATCCCCTAATTTTTGAGGATCAATGAAGGGAATAACTCCAAGAGCATTGCCTTTACTTGACATGACACTGTTGAGATTCTTTGATAGCCCAAAGTCCGCAATTTTTACGTTTCCTTTACAAATCAAAACGTTTTTTGTGTGCTAAATAAAATAAATAAATAAATAAACTATTTATGAATAACGACTTTCAAAAATACATATTTAGTCCAATACCAAATCACGGTGTAATACATTCATCACATTATGGATATAAGACAACCCTTCTGTTAATTGAATTGCAAGTTCTATTTTTTTATCCCATTTAAGTTCGTCCTTTTTGTCTGTTAAATGCTTCCTTAAATTACACTCGGCGAGTTCCATCACAAGATAGCATGAAACTTCTTTTTCATCTTTGTAATTAAACATTGTTAATTATAACTATCATTTAAAAAATTTATTTGGTGCTCAATATAAACTTGCTGACCATAGCCTACTCCAAATAACTCAATAATACGATGGTTTTTGGCCTTGCAATGTAATTTCAGCTAAAAATAAAACAATGAATGATAAATAAAACCTTGTCAAGACAAATGACTTATTTATAAGTCAAAAAACCTCATTAAGGAAGGATTTAATGGATGCTTCGCTATTCTCATCGCCAACATATATTTCTTTTACTGCCACCATTCTAGAATCTCCGTCAATATTGCATATATACACTTTAGAGAATCCTCCTTCTCCAATCTTCTTCTTATTTTTCAAGTTTCTTATAGGAATATTGTTCAATTCGTATTCGGTGATAGCCCGTTGAAATAATTGAAATAATCTTTCGTTTTCATCCATTTGTATATTGATTTCAAATAACGACAATATGTGACCGTACGTACATGTACATCCTATATGTAAGTTTTTTTTAAAGAAAATCAGGGGCCGGTAGCACCATAACTTATTTTATGCAGTAGAACGTGCTACAATTTCAACAGAAAAGATTAGACATGGGAGATGTTCTCCGTGCAGTTGTATTTGCATAATTTCCGGGTCATGAGAACTCCTGTATACAGTAAAATACAGTATAATTACAAGAAATTGATTGCACGTGACTATATTTTATATCGTCATTTAGCGAATAATTCTCGAAATTGCGCGAAATTTGTAAAATCGCTTAAGTCTCGCGGAACCAGTATTGTTCCAGTGTATTACAATTTGAAATATTATAATGTAAAAAATAAGTGTTAAAAATTATTTAGTAAAAATTATTAAGTCTTGCTACAAAAAAAAATTTTTTTTGAAGCCATAAATTATCAAGTGTAACACTAGCAATATAAATGAAATTATTAACAGTATAACAGAATTATCAATAAAAAAGGCTATATCCAAAGATATATCGCAGGGAATAAAGGCAATACATGCTGTTACTATATTATTCCAGCATAAATGTTTGAATTGTCAAAGTCTTGAACATAATTTTCACAAGTATTCTTATCCTTATAAAAAGAAGAGTAAGTTAAAAAGCAAATCTAAAATAAAAGTAAAGTAAACAAGATTTAAATTCTAAATCAAGTTCAGATACTAATTCTTCTTATAATGATTCTGATTCTGAAACTGAGTCTAATTCCAATGATACATCCTCTAAAATTAAAAGTATGATTATTAAAGTAAGTAAAGCAAAAAAAAAAGTAAACCAGAAAGGTAACTTCAATAAATCATTCTCACAAAAATGAAAAATCCAAATTTTGAGAGAAGAAATAAAAAGATACTCCCAGCTTTGGTAAGTCTCAAAATAAATTAACTTGTATCAAACAGGCTTTTCTCCAAAAGATTGTATTTGATCTACTTGAGAAAGCTTTATTTACATATTGGTTAAAGAAATTGAAATCTAAAATTAATGCTAGCATGCTAGTTCAGGTTGAAAATCTATTTACTATATCTTTACCTATTCAAGTATTAGACTTCAAAAATTATTGAGATTCAATCCCAGAAATGTCTAATTTAGAGGAGAAAAAGAGGATATTGGATAACACTTCTTATTATTACATCCCACTTTTTTCACTAATCAAACTTCCAATCAAGCCAACTTCAATATAATTCTTTCTCATAATTTTCAAGACTTATCTCATTCATTACAATCAATACAAGAGGTCTTAATAATTTTTCAAACTTCAAATTTTCTCTAATACTATTAATGACAAATAATATTGTTTTATATAGAAACCAAGCTCAAAAAAATGACTTTCATTTAAAATTATCAATAGCAATCCATTATTTATAGGAACTCCACCTTAGCAAAAAATAGGATTGCTATTATTATAGAAAAAGTTCTCACTTTATACTTATTTAAAATTGTTGTCTCATCAAAATTTTATTCTTTAATTATCCTAAATTTAAGACAAGATCAATATTCTTCTAACAATAGTTTATCTTTCATATAACAAGAAAGAAAAAAAATCAGTTGTGAATTTTTATACCAATTTATTAGAACTGCTATTATATTCAAACTTTATTACATTATTCTAGGTGACATTAACTCATATATTAAAAACATTTATTTATTGATGCTTTAACATTAACAAATAAATGTTTTGTTTATAACTATTTTAACAACTATATTAACATTGAACAACAATTCAATAAAATAGTCTATATTTATATTACCTTCACTAATGTATTACAAATTAATCAAATCTAAGTTATTAAAAATCTAGTCTTAAAATTATTTGATATAGGATTTATAAATGTGAACTAAAGATAGGTCCCTAAATTATTTGTGAGGACATAATTCAAATGTTCCTTATTATTAAAAATTTTCATTTCTATATTAAGAAATA